AGGGCTTTGGAACAGAGGAGTCCAGTTTCTTGAATATTATGTTCTGCACCATGGTGTGCACCGGGGAGCCGTAACGATGCCCGACCACCCTTGGGCAGTCGCCTTTGCAGTACTGAGGGCTGTACCTGTGTGGTGCGATTATCCATCTGTCCCATTTCAGCTGGCTAAAGCTTAGACGGAAGTTGTGCAGCTCACACTCGTTTTGAGGGAACAGAAATTGTTTGAAATATTCACTCAGATTATAAGGTGGGGTTGCTGGTGCTTCCTTCAGATTCTCTTCTCGTCGACGTCGAGAGGCCCTTTTACCCTGTGAATTCTCTTTGCCACCCATAGGATCAACACGTGGACTGCTCCTTTGCCGGGGCCGCACTGGGTTTTTCCGTCTGTGTCGAAGTGAGTTCCACCTGTGATAAGCTTGCTCACTGGTATCGTTCAGATAAAGAAGAAGAGAAGGGGGAACCAGTGCCACATTAATGGGATTTTCCAGTTTAGTGTTCTGTTGTGGATCACCCATCAGACAAGTGAAGTTCACAGCCATATGAATGTTCCTCCTGTTAGTAGCAATTAGGGGCTGGAGGAAAGAAGTCACATCAATCTCAACCCACTTGCGTTTTCTGACTTCAAAGTGCAGGCTAAAAGCTATGGAGTGCGAAATGCTGGGGCACACTTGGCTAGAAAAGTCATGCTCCTTGGCAGATAAATGGCACGTGCATGTCATGGAAGAAGAAATGGGAACTGATGTGTCAAAGGAATAGAGCAAGACAGACTTGAGTAAGTGCTCCAGGGCAGTAACACGATCCAGGTTGAAGAGTAAATCCACCGAGTGAACGTCTCCTGAGAAGCGAAACAAAACCTTGTAGAGTCAGTGCATCTTAATTTGCCTCCCAGACATAAATACTATCATGTAGCAGATAGGTAAAAATCATTCAGCAGCAGAATGATCCAATTTAGATGCCCTTCCTCATTTTTATTATATGGAATTTCTACTCTGATCAGGGCATAAAATTTGAAGGTAAAGAAGAGACAATAAAACCAAGAAAACCCAAACTTGTAAGAGGTATTAGGATTCATTTCATTAAAAAAACCCCAACAAAACAGTACAGGAAGAAGTTAGCAGATGTGTTTTCAGTGTCGATATGGGGAAACAGCAACAAGACACTCCAGATTCTACGAGCAGTGAAATGAAGGAGCTGAAGTCTGAAAGCGAATGCTTTCAGAGCTTTTTAGCATTAACTCTAGTTATTCTTCCTAATGCTATATTTTTTCGTATTTAAATCTCTTGACCAGCAGCTGCCAGCAAGTCCGAGTAATAGAAAGGCAGAAATTTATTTAGTAACACTGCTTAAAAAAATTACCGTTCTTTCATGAGTGTCATTTTGCTTCTCTTTTATGGAGCAGAACCAGAGCTTCCTTCTGAATGCACGTTTCTGTCTCATTCACCCCTACTGTAAGAGGCACTGTTCCCCTGATGCTAAGAATTTCCTGGCATTCTTTGAATTTGCTCCAATTTCCATCTTATTCTGAGACTGATAAACCCATTTCCTGGCCTGTGTTCCAGATGTGGACATAGCATACGTTTAATATATTGCCTTTTTTACTACTCACCACTGTATTTTTTTTCTGTACATTAGAAATTGTTCCTTTTGAGCCACACAAGTGCATTAAGTGATCTGTTCACACTTACACAGGCCAAGTAATAAGAAATCAGATGAGGGCTCTGTAGACCTTGATAAACTGATAGTTCCTATATTAATGAATTTTTCCAGAATCATTAATTTGAACAGCCTCAATAATTGTAGGAAGTTGGTTCAGATTCAGGCTGCTACTTTAATTATTACTACATTTAGGATCTATAATAACAAGATTAACTGTCAATTGTCAGTGTATTTCTGAATCTGCAGATTCTCATATACCAGGAAATTTTAGTCAGAAACACTTTGTTTTGTTTTGTTTTATTTTTCCATAGTGAATATTTCTTAACTGAACCTCAGTCTCAAAGTGCTGTTACTCTGCACAGGTATGAAGTTTGTGTTTAAGGCTGTCTGTCTTTCTAAGGGAAAAAATCCAAGTCAGGGGAACTCGGGTCACTTCTCAGCAGTCACTTAAGTAGAGCGAAAGGCCAAGGATTTCCCGCGGCCGTTGCAGTGACCAGCCGGCATCTGAGAAATCCGTGAAAGCATGGAAAGTTGCAAAGTGCCCTTGCCATGCTAGGTTTTCAGTCCTGAGCCTGGTTTACACGTAGCTCTACTCTTCCCTTCAGGATCTTCACACTTTTGGGTTGCGATTCTTCCCTAGCTAACAAACAAGGCGAGGAGCAAAGTCGCCTTGCAATGGGATTCTGGCAGTTTGTTACAAGTCTCGTTGCAGTGCTGTGCCTTTATGGCCTTGAAAAAAGCAAAACCGAGATGGGCAGTGGAAGGAAACACAATGCCCCTTATGCCCAACCATTTCTTCCACTTTTCTTACTTTACCTAGAATTGGTTGTAGAGTTTTCTCTGACTCAGAAGAAGATGAGTCAGCCTGCACCATCAGTATCATCTCAAACATAGTACCATTTGTGTGGCAGTTCCCAAACTGTGGGCAAGTCTCTGCCTAATGCCATTCAGGGAGAAGTAGCTTATGAAAAACTCCTACAGTTTAAGAGAAGAGCTATCAGGATTAAAATAGCAACAGCTCTTATTTCTTTAGATATTTTTACACTATGCTGCAAGCACAGAACAGATGGAAAACCCCCCGTTTAACCTTTGCACACACCTACCTTTCATCAGGTCCCTGTGGCGGTGCTTGCATTCAGAACACGGAGTGAAAAGTCGAACAGTGTTATAGAGGTGGCTTTTGCTAGCCTTTGGGATTCCCTCCTTGCTAGCAGACATCTTATATAGCCTCTTCATGTACCGAAGGGCTCTGGAGTCTGGCCGTAGCCTGGGAGCCTCGCTTTCCCAGCTCTGGCGTCCCCGGTCAGACAGCACCTTGAGAAGGGGAGGCAGGAGGGCATAGCCACGTCTCACACCTTTCGGCAGCCGCAGCAATGGGTTTAGCTCACCGCCGGCGTCCTCAGGAGCCACCGAGAACCCAGAGGTCCCATCAGAGACTACACGACCCCGGGGGTGGGGGGAGCACTGGATGCTAGAGGAAAGCCAGTGGAGACAGCAATAGAAGCAAACACAAATCCTCCATGTAGTCTCCATTCTCTTTAGGGTAGCAGCTAAACAAATGCCTCCCCTAAAATATTCAGTAAAAAAAGAGTGCCTGAGCCCGATCCCTTATATATGTTGCAGCTGTGGAATAGGAGGGAGGTTGCTTTCTGATTAGAAGCCAGAGAGAAGGATCTGCAGGTGCCTACTGAACCCACATGCCTGCTTGCATTCGGGCTAGACCCTTTGCCCGTGAAAGCACATTATAAACAACATCTTGATTCTCAGAGTTAACCTTTTTCACATGGTCGATTACAAAACAGGAGTGTGTGCCAGCCTCCAGAGGGAGCTGGGGTGACAGCTCAGTATTAGCTGGTCTGACTAAATCAGTGTTTGGCTGCGGAAATACATGTAAACCTAAATATTATTGCTCTTAGCGATAATAAGCTAATAAGAAAGAAGGAAACTGTTTTTCATTTTCTGTTAATGTATTTCTCACATTTCACTTCAGACAGTAATCTCTCACGTGAGAGCTGTGACTGCAGCACCATCAGACTGGGTTTCATTCCAGCCCACAGCACGTGCTCACCCCCAGTCGGAGGTAAGGCAGCCAAAAAGCAGAGGGCTTTTTCAGCCGGTATCAGCCAGCTCCAGAAGTCTCCAAATGGAGTAGTATTGATTGCATCAGAAATACTCAGAAGCTCTTGTACCTGAACATAACCCAAGAGATGGGGTTTAGTTTTATTTAATTAGGAAAAGACAGGGCGAAAAATCAGTTTTCATGACAGTTGTTTTTTAGAGCTATGCTATCAATAGTGAAATGTCACCCATAATCTAACTTTCACATCTTAAGGCTTCTGAGTAAGGATTGCTTGTTTGGAAAGTGTTTAATTAACCTACAGAAATGTCAGTCTGGCATTCTTTGATTTGGAGTGGAAGGTTAATTCAGATAACCTATAATATTAAGCAATATAACCATTTCTGCTAGATTTCTTGAAGCTGATTTGATTATGATGAGGGGGATACTGTCTGAGGTGAGCTATGTTTGAACTGTTGTGGACAAGGTGATCTGTACTTTGATTCGTTTTAAAAATACACCCTTCAGTCAGGCATGCTTGCACCAAACGAGCTCATCTGCTCCCTCCCTGGTGGGTGTGAATTGGTCCCACTTGGCATTGGTTTCAAACACCTGTAACTGCAGTTTCTGCTGTTCCAGGGCAATTCAAGCTGCCCTCTAACCCTACCCTCTTCCACAAAGCAAATGTGCGTTCCTGCTCTCTGCTTTGCACGGAATGTTGATGTTATCAGATCTTGTGGTGGGCCCAGTCAGGGGGCTGAAATGGTAGGAAAATAATCCAACAAAAAGTGACTATTTGCTTTATCTTACTGCAACCACTGGACAAGCTGAGAACAATCAGGCCTATCTTGAATAATCCAGGGCTCAACAGGACTGGAGTGGTACTTCTGGATGCTAAGGACATAGCAAATCCTTAACTATTATGCTGTATGGTGAGTGCCGGTCTCACATATCTTTATATATACACTGCATTGAAGAGGGTATTCTTGAACATGTAGCTTTTGAAAATTCCCCTTAGGTAGACTGAAAAGT